CCATCCGATCCGGGTCGGATGTACGATGTTTGCGAGATTGCGTCCCATCTACGGGCCATCTGATCTGGGTCGGATGTCACCCGTATGGGATATGATTGTGAATGTGGCGATGATACGATCGCGCCAACGTCCGAACGACAGGACGGTTATGGGCCCCCCGATGACTTGCGTGGATAGCCGATTGTAGTCGGTACTATTGTGTGACGAGGAACACACGGTTTTTAGAACCGCGCCAACGTATCCGTTAGCGACGGAGCGGACCCCGGGATATGAGTATCCCGAGGATGAGGGCATCACACATACCTGAGATTCGGACGGATTGTGGTCCCCGAGGAGGTGGTATGGACTTACTCTGCCAGGTTCGGGCCCGAACCTGACAAGTATTTCCGCGGTGGATGGTCGGCGAGGGAGAGTTGCAGCGATTGGCTCTCTCGTTATAGTCGACGGCGTCGGTTATAGCCGACGTCAGGTGAGCTCCGGTATTGAGAGGTGACATCAATGCCGGAGTGGGGACATGCCTAGCATCGAGAGGTGTCATCGATGCTAGGGTGGGGTGTTGTGTTCGGGCGGAGAAAATAAAAAGATACGTATACCGGATTCCGAGTGCGCGCGGCCGAGGAGAGAGGTGGTTGTGCTACGCACATGGGGAGTACATACCTACGCATGGTGCGCGTAGAGACGATTTGACGGACTCTGTCCTGCGACTTGTCGTACGGCCGACTTGTCGTACGGACTTGATTGTGATTGCTGCGTGCTTACAGTGATTCATGTTTTCAATTCCTGTTTATTAGAATACTAGTATATACACACATATATATATATATGTTTGTGCTTTCCCTGACACCATGAGAATGGAACTCCGGATTACGCCCGAGGTCACTCTCTAAGCAATTAGCTTAGGACGTTGTTACGTAACGTTTCAGGTCGTGAGCAGCAGTAGTAGTCGAGGAGCGGACATCGGAGACCTGGGCAGAGCACATCTACAGATCATGTATAATTACGTATTTTGATACATTTATATTTTGGGGAACGTTTTGAATATATCGGTGGTAGACTTTGGGATTTGTAATAATTTGATTACTACCACTCGATTATGTGTAATTATAACTGGAAATAATGTATCATATATGTATATACGAGTGTTTCTTCCGCTATACGCTGAATAGGAAAAGTTTTAAATTCCCGCGGATTTTTGGAAATGCAATTTTTATTTTACTTGTCCATGTGGCGCAACTCGTATTGCGGGATACGGGTTTCGGGTGTCACAGCGTTGGTATCAGAGCAGTTCCTTCCACGGGGAAAGAATGTACTCGTATTTTCACTGAAATTTGGGAATGGGTAAAAATGATTTTTAAAGATTTTATAAAATCTAAGCATGATCACCAGGTCCCGGTATTAAATAAAGTTTCTTGTCCGCAGTAGCTATGCCTCCACGACGTGCTGCACCTGCGCAACGACCTGAAGGACCGAGGGCACCTCCACCGAATAATGACATGGCGGAAATGCAACGTCAATTCGCACTGTTCCAAGGGAACGTCTGGCAGTTCATACGAGGATACATGCAACCGCCACCGCCACCGCCTGCTGCTCCACCGGCGGCAAGGCCGGAAGGAGGTTTGCCACCACCACCACCGATGCCTGCACCTCCGAGAATTCCGGAGCAAGTGGTAGTGGACTATTTGCCATTTGTCAAGGAACTCCGAGCTTTGGGCACTCCGGAGTTCGAGGGTTCCCTCAGCCCTGAGGCAGCAGAAGACTGGATGATCAAGATCACCCATCACTTCAACTACATCAGGTGCCCGCTGGGGTACCGTACGGAGTTAGCGAGCCATCATCTGGCTGGCGGCGCTGCTCGCCATTGGTGGGAGGAGGTTGTACGAGAAGCTCCCGCAGGACACCAGTTCTCGTGGGAAGAGTTCCGGGCAGAGTTCGAGCAGAAGTACTACCGGAGGCAAGATCAGAGCCACCGTATTACGGAATTCCTTCGTCTTGAACAGGGAAACATGACTGTTCGAGAGTACGAAGCGGAATTCAACCGGCTGCTGAAGTATGGAGGCCACCTAGTGCCAACTGAGGAGTACAAGATCCAGAAATTCATTGCTGGGTTACGTGCTTCTTTCAGGAGAATGATCGAGTGCCATGAGTACCCTACGTTGAGTCGGTGCATCAACCAACTCGACAAGGTGGAACGCAGTGAGAAGGAGAGGATGGAAGCCAAGAGACAAGACCGTGGACCCTACAGGAGAGTGCCAGTCAACCGTCCCCCGGTGAGAGTTGGACAGACGAGTCAACCCCGCGACAAGGGGAAGGCTCCGGCGTATCGTCCCACGACCCCAGCTCAGCCAATACAGTATAGGAGGTCATGTGCTAAGTGTGGTCTAGACCATACTGGACCTTGTGGAAACACCATGACGTGCTACCGTTGCGGTCAACCGTGGCATTTTGCTGCCAGATGCACGGCGAACATAGCTCCTCAAGCCAACAACAAGCCACCGCGTCCGGCACAGAGGAGATCGGGTATTGCTCCGAGAGTTTATGCTCTCACAGCTGAGGAGGATGCGCAGGAGGAACCATACACAGTGGAGGAGCCATATGCTGCAGAACCATTGACCACCTACGAGGCCCCTGATGAGGATTATCTGGAGGAAACCGACGTTGCTGCCATCACAGGTATCATTTGCATACACGATGTTGCATGCTTCACTTTGTTTGATACAGGAGCTACACATAGCTTCTTGAGTGAGAAAAAGGCAGACGAGTTGTCAATCATGGAGATCGATACGACTACACCTTTTATGGTGTGTACACCTGCAGGACAGACTCTTCCAGTACAGGGGATTTTGCATTGCATGCCCTTGACTATCTGTGGGAGGATGTTGACTGCAGATCTTATCATCGTACCTATCCGGGGTTACGACCTAATACTGGGAATGGATTGGTTATCGAAACATCAAGCCCAGATTGACTGTCGTCAGCGGACTATTTGGTTCACTGAGGAGAGCGGAGGATTCGAGTTCGTTGGGAACAGATCACGGGAGGTGTACCCCATCATATCAGCTCTGAAGGCTAACAAGATGACCGAAAAAGGGAATGAAGCCTTCCTGGTTGTAATCACAGCAACCGAAGAAGCAGAAGCAAAACTGGAAGATACTGCTGTGGTTCGGGAATTTCCCGATGTGTTTCCTGATGAACTACCTGGACTACCACCAGAGCGGGAGGTAGACTTCTCCATTGAGGTTGTGCCAGGAATGGAGCTAATATCTAAGACTCCACATCGGATGGCTCCGACCGAGATGGCAGAACTGAAGAAACAGTTGAACGAACTAATGGAGACAGGGTTTATCCGACCGAGCGTATCACCGTGGGGAGCACCAGTGTTATTTGTGAAGAAGAAGGATGGTAGTATGCGACTCTGCATCGACTACCGAGGCCTGAACCAAGTGACCATCAAGAATCGGTACCCCTTGCCTAGAATTGATGAGCTGCTTGACCAACTGCAAGGAGCAAAGTGGTTTTCTAAAATCGACCTACGTTCTGGGTATTATCAGATTCGTGTAAAGGTTGAGGATATCCAGAAGACTGCCTTTTGAACTAGGTACGGTCACTTCGAATTCGTGGTCATGCCATTTGGGTTGACGAATGCCTCAGCTGTCTTCATGCAGTTAATGCACCGGGTGTTCATGGATTATCTCGATGAGTTCGTCATAATCTTTATTGACGATCTCTTGATATATTCACCGGACCAGCAGACGCATGAAGAACACCTGCGGAAGATCTTATGGCGATTGCGAGATAATCAGTTATACGCTAAATTCAGCAAGTGTGGGTTTTGGTTGCAAGAAATTGGATTCCTTGGTCACGTAGTTTCTGCGCAAGGGATACGCCTACCAATGCAACCGAAATTCGAAGTTTCTTGGGGTTGGCAGGCTATTACCGTCGGTTCGTTGAGGGATTCGCTAAACTGGCAAAGCCCATGACGAAACTGACGGGAAAGAATGTGCGCTTCGAATGGACAGAGGATTGTGAGAGGAGTTTCATGGAACTCAAGAAGAGGTTGACCACTGCACCTATTCTGGCATTACCACGTCCAGGTATTCCGTATGATGTATATACGGATGCGTCGAGACAAGGGTTGGGTTGTGTGCTGATGCAAGAGGGACACGTGATAGCATATGCGTCCCGACAGTTGAAAAGACACGAAGAGAACTATCCGACTCATGATCTGGAGCTAGCCGCGATAATTTATGCTCTGAAAATTTGGAGATCTTATCTTTACGGTGAGAAGGTTAAACTCAACACCGACCATAAGAGTTTAACCCACGTCATCTCACAGAAAGATTTGAACCTCCGACAAAGACGATGGCTAGAACTGATGGCCGATTATGACTTGGAAATTGCTTACCATCCAGGTAAAGCAAACGTTGTGGCAGATGCATTGAGCAGGAAGAAGATATTATCTGCTATCAGAGTATTGTCCTCATCACAGGAGAATATAGCTGAGTTGTCGGCTATATTGGGTCATTTGACTGTTGCAGAGGATGAACAGTTCCCAGTTCTGAGGGCACGGGTAACTTCGGAACAGCGCAACGACCTTGAACTTTTGAAGTACATACAGGAGATTGAGCGATATCGCGAGAAAGGGTATCAGTTGGATGATGCACAGGCATTGAGATTGCATAACCGGCTTTGTGTACCGGATAACAGCGAGCTGAGACGGAAGATCTTGCAAGAAGCTCATCAGTCCAGATTAGCGATCCATCCAGGAGCTAGCAAGATGTATCGAGGTCTACGACTGTGGTACACTTGGCCCGGCATCAAGAAGGACGTCGCAGATTTTGTTGCGCGATGTCTGACGTGTCAGCAAGTGAAGGCTGAACGACAGATGCCTGGAGGAAAGTTACGACCATTAGAGATTCCGGAGTGGAAGTGGGACTCTATAGCGATGAATTTCGTGGTCGGATTGCCAACGACTCTGACGAAGAAGAACGCAATTTGGGTGGTTGTAGACCGATTAACTACATCGGCACATTTTATAACGACCTGACAAGAGCACACAGTTGAGCGACTGGCACAGATCTATGTGGGAACGATCGTTCGATTACAAAGAGTACTGGGTGAGATTATCTCTGACAGAGATCCTCGCCTTACTTCGAGACCGTGGAATACTATCCAGAATGCATCGAGAACCGGAGAATGATGTGTGCAATTATTACCCCATCTACTTAGAATGTAACTTCAATTTAGGTCCATTCGAATTCGAGGACGAATTCATTTTAAGGGGGGTAGATTGTAACAACCCGGTTTTCTTTCAAAAAAAAAAAAAAAACTCAGAACGTCCGTTCTAGACGACAAGGGCCGAACCGCTCGCACAGACCGGAACGTCCGTTCCAGACCGCAGAACGGACGGACCAGAGTGTCGGCAACGACCAAACGACGACTTTCGTCCGGACCGACCTGAAAGCGACCCGAATGCACTAATCCGACCAGAAAATCCTGACTTTTTGACTTTGTGCACGATTTAGTCCGCCCTGGGTCCGAATTTGTGTCGTAATTTGGCATAATCCGAGCTTCAATCGCCCATTTTCTCTCCCTCTCATGTTCTTCATTTCCAACCAAAAATTCTCTCTCAAATTCTAAAGATTTACGCTCGAATCGGTTTCTACAGAGCAAGAGGAACATCCCCAAGCTTCCCATTCAACACCCATAGCACGGGCTTAACCCGAGGTGAGTGAATTCGAGTTTAATTCGGAAGTCTGTTAGACATGGGGTTTTGGGTTTTGAGTGATTTTGTGCAAAATTGATGTTTGATTCGTGTTGTGCATGCAATTTTATGAGTTTTAGTGTAATACCCATAGTGAATCGTGCATGTTTGAGTGTTTTGGTGAAAATCCGAGGACCAGAACGTCCGGTCTGAGGTCAGACCGTCCGTTCTAGGTCTACAGGAGAAATACAGAAGTCTGGAGGTTGAAGACGACTCCAGACCGTCCGTTCTGGACGAGACGGAACGTCCGTTCCGCACTTGCCAGACCGTCCGGTCTGACGAGACGGAACGTCCGTTCCGAACCGATCGGTCTACTGACTAGACCGATCGGTCTGAAAAAAAAAAAATAACGGAACTGTAAAATTTCACCATGAGAAAAATTTAAAAACATGATAAGACGGGTCTAATATGACCCTGGTTAAAATTATGAAAAAGTGAAAAATATAAATTATACCGGATTTACGGGCCAGACCGCACCCCACGTAGTCTGGACCCAAAAATTAATAACAGGTAAGGTTAAAAACCACAGAATGAACCGAACTGGTTATCCGGGCGGACCGAGACCAGCTAAGTCATACCGGAGGTACAATTCGGTAAACTCGATGAAGAGAATGAAAGAAAATATATAAAGAAATATAAAAGACTACACAAGCGGAAATGCATGTATAGTAAATAAACTATATAAATGCATGTGATTGGGGTAGCTGGCATGGCACTAGCGTTAATTCGGAAGGGTTCGGATTAACGTTTAGCGCGTGATTGTAGAAACGGACGCTTGTGAATGATTATACGATGGTTGCGAGTTTGCGTC